AGGAGGTCTTCGTGCAATACCCTGGCTTTCTCACAAATAATGGCCTCCGAAACACTATCACCCCTTAACTCCTTGTCGTGTATCCAAATTAATAACAACTTTTCCACTTCTTCAAGTATTTGTGGTCTTTGTTTCATTATTGTTCTTACTCCTTTTGCCACTTTAGCACTCATAATCTCATTTTTCTTCTTAAGTATAGTGCATATTGTTGATGTGGCTTTGTTGTACTGCCTACAAAGTTCAACAACACGTGTACCGTTCTCATGCTTCCGAATGATCTCGTTTCTCCTCTATTGTCATCCTCACATGGGCTTTCTGGCCTTTATCCTTACCACTGGCTTTCTTGGGACCCATGGTGAGATATATAATAACAAATTGTATAGACAAATCACCAAAAATCCAACAAAACACTGAAAATCCGCGAGAAGAATTGATGTGGGGGTAGTCACTGAGCGCGAGACAATGGTAAACTGAGGGGCGGCGGGGCAGAGGGGCGACAATCGCCGAACCACCACGCGCTAGGTCGGCCTGTACGCGTATCAACAAACTCGCGTCCCGAGGTAACCTTCGCCTTCCGAGACATATTTTTCGAGGAAATCCTGCTCGTCTTCCGAAAAACTCGCATACAGGGACACTCGCATTAACCCTCAAACCGCGCATATCATATATAAATGATATCAGTGACAAAACCGAAACCGCGCACATCATATATATATATGATTTCGTGTCTAGCGCTATAATTTAAACGCCCCGCCTGGGATAGGGGCAGCTATAGTACAGCCACGACCGATAGTTGCCAGATGCCACCTAGAAAAAAAATCCAGGCCAACATTCTTGGGTGTTAGAGCGTCAGTATTGAGCAAGCCACCAAGGCTGGCGCACGCAGCACGAGCTCACAGCACCGCTGTTCAGCTTGTGACCACAGCATCGCCTACAAATACCATAATATAAATGATACTGCTATTATTTAGCAGTGATAGTATTACTGAAGCCCCCTGACTGTGATAAAACTGACCAGGATTCTGATAATAGCAGGATTGTGGTGATATTTAGCGCTGTGCTCCATGGAGGGAGGAGTAAGGCTGTGGAGGGAGGGTTGTGGCGTCGTTTTCTGACTGTGTGTGGCCACCATTTATTGACTGCACTCACCATACCAGCTTAGTGGTTCGATATGGTGAACACAAATGTAGATACTTATATATAACGTGTGTATAGTGTGAGATAACAGCGAGAGGAGTAGGTTGGGAGCCGCCATTTTGGTGAGGGAGGAGCGTCGTCTGCACGACTTGGCATGTTGTTTACTGATGGCCACTATGGTCTTTGGGCACCATACCAGCTTATTTGTTCAGGTATGGTGAATAAAACAGGTAGATACTTATATATAATGTGTGTATATAGCGTAATAACACCACAAACAATATTGTTGGAGGACAAATATTAGTGCGTCTGGCCTTGAGGGCGGCCGCCGATCAGCTGACTGTGTGAGTAGCTACGTCTTTGTGGCCTTTACTCACCATACAAGCTTAGATGTACAGTTATGGTGAACAAAACATGTAAATACGTATATATAACGTCTGTGTATAGTGAATAAATACAGAAAGAGTATTGTGGGAGGTGAATGAGGGTGAGTGAGGTGGTGTTGAGGGAGGGAGTGGCAGTGAGTGGCTCGCTGGTGTTTGGCGGTCACTCCTCGTTGCTTTTTGACTCACAAGACCAACTTAGTAGTTCGTTATGGTGTACAAAACATGCAAATACTTATATATAACCTGTGTATATAGTGTAACAACAGCAAAACTATTTGTTTATTGTTTTATGAACATAATAATTGAATCACTAATATGCACACCATAATTTTGAGTACAGCGATGGTTCACACATTTTATAATATAAATATACCACAATTCACTGTATGGAATAATATTACTGCAAAAAAACTAAGAAAAAATCAATCAGAGACATTGAAATAATTAGGTAATAATATATTTGTGGCAACTGCCGTCTGACAGCTCGGGCGGAGTAGACCTCGTCTGGCGAAGGCTCTGCCAACGCCCCTTTTTTGCCACACTTCCCTACCCTATTGCGGCTAAAATATGCCACCTACGATTTTTTTGGAAACATTTATTTTTTCGTGATCAGGGAACAAAACGTTGAACACTTCTTTAAGACAGGAAAGGAAATTATTTGGACCTTCCTCCCTTGGGTTTGTTTTTGGGAATAAAGTATGCAATGCCTGGAAGAAAATAAGGAGGTTGTTGAAAATTCCACTTTGAGGACATTATGGTGACCTTAGAAATTTTTTAGTGAGTATAATTGGACAGACTTGATGCTAGGCAAGGAAGTGAATGAGATGTATGTCAAGTTTAGTGAAATATATGATAAAGGCACAACAAAATTGATACCAAAGTAGAGATGCAGAACTAGGAAACAGGATTGGTTCAACAGAAATTGCAAGATGGCCAGAGACCAAAAGACACAAAATGGAATCAATATAGGAAGAGGCCAAACTCCCAAACATACCTGTGATAAAAAGATGCGAGAAACAACTACACGGCAGTGAGGAGAGAGGCAGAAAGAAATTTTGAGATTGCGGACAAATGTAAAACAGAACCAGGTCTATTCTATAAATTCATAAACAACAAATTGCAGGTAAAGGATAATATTCAGAGGTTGAAAATGGGAAATAGATTCACGGAAAATGAAAAAGAAATGTGTGAAACATTAAATGAAAAGTTCCAAAGTGAGTTTGTACAAAATGAAATCTTCAGGGAACCAGACAATAAGAATTCCAGAGAACAACATAGAGCACATAGAGGTGTCTAGAGACGAAGTGGAAAAAATGCTCAAGGAGCTAAGTAAGAACAAAGCGGTTGGCCCAGATGGAATTTCACCACGAGTTCTGAGAGAATGTGCACCTGAACTCAGCACTCCACTTCAGCTGATTTTTCAAGCATCTCTGTGTACAGGAGTTGTAGCCGATGTGTGGAAAAAGGCTAACATAGTTCCAATCTACAAAAGTGGCTGCAGGGAAGACCCCCTCAATTATAGACCTGTACCACTGACAAGTGTAATATTGAAAGTATTGGAAAAACTAATCAAAACTAAATGGGTAGAACACCTAGAGAGAAATGATATAATATCAGACAGACAGTATGGTTTTCGATCTGGAAGATCCTGTGTATCGAATTTACTCAGTTTCTATGATCGAGCCACAGAGATATTACAGGAAAGAGATGGTTGGGTTGACTGCATCTATCTGGACCTAAAAAAGGCTTTCGACAGTTCCACATAAGAGGTTGTTCTGGAAACTGGAAAATATTGGAGGGGTGACAGGTAAGCTTCTAACATGGATGAAAAATTTTCTGACTGATAGAAAAATGAGGGCAGTAATCAGAGGCAATGTATCGGAATGGAGAAATGTCACAAGTGGAGTACCACAGGGTTCAGTTCTTGCACCAGTGATGTTTATTGTCTACATAAATGATCTACCAGTTGGTATACAGAATTATATGAACATGTTTGCTGATGATGCTAAGATAATAGGAAGGATAAGAAATTTAGATGACTGTCATGCCCTTCAAGAAGACCTGGACAAAATAAGTATATGGAGCACCACTTGGCAAATGGAATTTAATGTTAATAAATGTCATGTTATGGAATGTGGAATAGGAGAACATAGACCCCACACAACCTATATATTATGTGAGAAATCTTTAAAGAATTCTGATAAAGAAAGAGATCTAGGAGTGGTTCTAGATAGAAAACTATCACCTGAGGACCACATAAAGAATATTGTGCAAGGAGCCTATGCTATGCTTTCTAACTTCAGAATTGCATTTAAATACATGGATGGCGATATACTAAAGAAATTGTTCATGACTTTTGTTAGGCCAAAGCTAGAATATGCAGCTGTTGTGTGGTGCCCATATCTTAAGAAGCACATCAACAAACTGGAAAAGGTGCAAAGACATGCTACTAAGTGGCTCCCAGAACTGAAGGGCAAGAGCTACGAGGAGAGGTTAGAAGCATTAAATATGCCAAAACTAGAAGACAGAAGAAAAAGAGGTGATATGATCACTACATACAAAATAGTAACAGGAATTGATAAAATCGACAGGGAAGACTTCCTGAGACCTGGAACTTCAAGAACAAGAGGTCATAGATTTAAACTAGCTAAACACAGATGCCGAAGAAATATAAGAAAATTCACCTTCGCAAATAGAGTGGTAGACGGTTGGAACAAGTTAAGTGAGAAGGTGGTGGAGGCCAAGACCGTCAGTAGTTTCAAAGCGTTATATGACAAAGAGTGCTGGGAAGACGGGACACCACGAGCGTAGCTCTCATCCTGTAACTACACTTAGGTAATTACTTAGGTAATTACACGAACTTCTGGTTTCAATTCTTTTGACCATGCCATAACTCAGTCGATTAAAGCAGCGTCTGGGATCCTCTCGGACATAAATTTGAATTGTCGTCATGGCCCTTGTGGATTTGTTCATTTAATGCATCACGCTATTGTGATTTGTGTGTGTAAATTCCCAGAACCTCATCAATCAGGTATCGAGCAGTGTATGAATATAAATGAGGCAAGGCTTTTTCTACATTCTCCCTCCAAATATTGACAGGCATATGAACAGGTGTCTACTGTCCTTGTATTCATGAGCACATCAAATACATCAGGCTGCAGTGTCTATGTTGGATGGCTAGCTGAAGGCACTAATAGTATGACTGATCAAACCATCATTCACAAGGTGATGTCAAATTATGGGCTCTTGGGACACTGAGCCTGGAAACTACCACAAAGTTGGTAGACAACCAGGCATTTTAGCTCAGACTCAAGTACAGTATTTAACATTTCAAGTCAAAATGTTAAGACATCTTCAAGATAAAAGAGAGACCTAGAGGAGAACAAAAAGATAAAAGGTAGTATCTCTATTGGGCATAACTAATAAAAGACACATACAGTACAATATTACTTTTTTCAAATGAAGAATTTGACTTACCGCCAGTTAGGGTACCAGCTGGATCAAATACATCACCGTCTAAGGTGACAGATTTCCTCATGATATTATTGTGGAAAGTGACTTGTTTGGCTACATCCATATCCCGACAGATAAACGAAGAGCCAAACACCCACTCCATAGCCTTGTGCAAATCGTGATCATAACAGACAAGTGACAGTGCTGTCTGTACGTTCTCCTTCCCCACCTGAAATATAAGAGCAAGATAAATTGAATACAATCTGATGATGCAAAAGAAAGATTTTTAATAAACATGAAGTTTAAATTTTAATATGATGCAAACTGTTCAACTGTGCACTTCACAACCGGATGGATTTTAGTAGACGACATAGTGATGAGGCTATGTTTACCCCTGGAACACTCCATGCAAGTCTTTACCGCCAGGCGCAGTGGTAAAGCACTCGTCCGGCGCTTCGCGAGTGCTTTGGCCTGGGTTCATATCCTGGCTGGGAAAGATTGACTGGGCGCCAATCCTTAACTGTAGTCTGTTCATCCAGCAGTGAATGGGTACCTGGTTGTTAAATGATTTAGCGGGTTGTATTCTGGGGAAAATTAGGATTAAGGACCTGCCCGAAACACTATGCGTGCTAGTGCCTTTACTGGAATGTAAGAACTCTTGTATATATAAATGAATAAATAATATAGAAATAAATAAATTAGTGTTAGGAACATCTGAGGAGACAAAATCTGACATGGTTTAGTAGAGTAACTATACTAGTCAGTGTGGGTCACAGGGCTTGGTGGATATAAATAAGAGGGGAGGCAATAACCAAACCACACCAGAAGACGGAGAGACGAGAACGTTTCCGTCCATCCTGGACCATTATCAAGTCTAGTGTCGACTTTATAATGGTCCGGGACGGACCAAAATGTTGTCGTCTCTTCATCTTCTGGTGTGGTTTGGTCATACTATCTTCAGCCACATTATTGTGACTCACTGTCTGCAAGATGAGAGGCATGCATATCACAGCTAAAAATTCCACCATGTATACACAAGTAGACGTTCTTTTTGGCATGGAGGGGAGTGAAAGGGTCATTAGCTTCTAAGTCAGGTGTTTGGCTTATGTGTACTACTTCACCTTCCTAGTGGAGGGTGTGTGGGTGGCGATAGTCTATCATCTAGGCCTTCACACAACAGGGGCAGCAGCTATAGGGTAAATTGTCAGCCACACTTCCCTGGAAATAAATATTCCATTCACCTGGGTTCTAGGAGACTCGAACCATGAACCCCCACTCGTGTGAGTGGGGTCCCCACAATTTACATGTCGTGGGCGTGGGTCACTAATTCCTCTGGGCTTCAGTAGTAGTCGGAGAAAGTAAAAAAATTTCCAGTTTGACAGCAGGATACTGCTTCTGGAAACTTTCCTAATCAAGACTACTCAATAGCTAGGTCGATAGAGCTTCAGCCTCACACACGTGGGGTCCACGGCTCGAGTCTACTAGAGCCCAGGTGAATGGAAAGCTATAGGGTACTCTTCCGCCCTTTGGTGGCCCTTATGTGGCAGGCTTCACTAGCCTTAAGGTGAAAGGGAAGGGGAATGTTTGCAGGCCTTGGTGTCTCATGTTTATCTGACGCTTGATCCTTCTCCACACCAATTACTGCCTGTACAAGTGTAGCTAATCTATTATTCTATTCCAATCCTTTACACCAAATTTGGGTATTGTTGGTCAGATGGAGGGTAGAAGTGTATGATACATTTTCTCTTGGTTGAGTGCCACTCTTCCTTGCTGGTGAAGATAACATTCCTTTAAGATAAGGATGTTCCTTGACTCTTTACGTGTCTATACTCACATCTATTGACCAATCTTTCAGTTGATCAGTATCTGTGTTTGCCAGGCAGGTTCAATTCAATCTTGTTTTGCATCCCTGGACCTCCCACTACTACGTTTCTGCTACTACTAGCTTCCACTATAGCATGTTGCCATCCATTAAAAATTCAAGAACTAAGGATTTCAGGTCAGTGATCCCTCTTCCCAACCTCAATCACTCTCTTTCAGTCTGTATTTGGCAGCCAGGTTTTTCATCAGACTTGGTGACTACAATCTTATCCAGCAGCAGCATTTCTGTCATGCTGTCACCCTCTTCCCCTTGGTCTATACTATGCACCTCTTCTGGAACCTATGGTAAAGTTCCCTTGTCATTTTTTCAAAGGCAGTCCATATGTACCAACCTTGACATTTTCCCGTGAGTATGTCTCCTGATCTTAGCCTGATCATGTGATCTCTCACACAGCTGCTGTTTTCCTTCATATGTGGCTCTGCAACATCTCTAGCTGATCCTATATCTTTCTGCTATGTAATTTTCAAAATTCTGCTCTGCTTCTCTCCCAACTTGGGTGTACATACAGATTTTGGTTTTCCTTAGTGCCTCCTTGTTGATCTCGGAGTCCAATTCTCGCTACATTTTCTATGCCTTTCAGGTCTTGAACTCACTTTTCTGCAGAAGCCACTGGAACCTGAGGTTTGTCTTGCTTTCTCTGCCTTTATTTTCACAAGTACTTACTGTACTACGAATTGTTCCAAGGCATCTTACTCTAAGAATTCTAGAATTTGAATTGTCATCCAACCCTCCAATTCATTATCTCGCTACACTTTCAGTAGGAAGGCAATTGTCCTCTTGTAGTCCCTACATCTGTAGTCTTTTTTTTTCTCAACCTCTTCCTTGGTCTGATTCCCCACATCCCTCCCTCAACTTCCCTACAGGTATAAACAGTATAACACATGCTGGCATCTTTTATTATGCCTTCTCAATGTCTGCCTCATTTTAGGTAAGCTCTAGGTTTAGTATTGCTGGAGGTTCCTCTTCTTTTTCCCTCTGTTGGCTCAGTGATGTCGTTCCTCAAGAAATATTGGTCAGCCATGAATATCAATTTTGTTCCCCACGTTTCATCACCTCCATAGATTCTTTGATGTCTTACCTACTTCCCCGTGTGCTTAACACTTTTCTGGATTTTCGATTTGGAATTACGGGCGTTATGCTTAACCGCTTTCATCACCTCCATAGATTCTTTGATGTCTTACCTACTTCCCCGTGTGCTTAAAATCCCAAAGAATTCAAGTCTTAGCCCTTGCTTTTCCTGTCACTGTAGTTCATGTTTCAAATTAATACAGTGAGGCATTTTCAAAGAAACAGATACAATAAATATATAAAAACACAAGCTATCCCAACTACGGATACGTAACGATTTGGAACGCAACGAGTAGCCTTGAAAGGTAAAGTGTACGTGCTCGTAATGCTTCCACAACGTCAAGCAATAAATGATCAACACCAGAAAGTGTTTAGTTAAAGCAGCATCATGATGGTAGTTGTGGCCGTTCTTTGAAAGTTCCAATAGTAAACAAAACAGTAGATATAGATTAAAGCACATATCATTATTACGTACCAAATTTTCTGCTTGTTTGACGATGTGGGCATCAATGGAACGTCCCGTGATCTTATTAAGAGGAATGATGGTAACTCTGGTCTGAAGCTGTCCTTTTTGTAGCAACTTTTTCCCTGTTACTTCCGAGTCAACAATTACATTATACAGCTGGAAAAAATTAATACAAACTTAGATGTAGTAATTAATAACCAGAAATAAGTACATGATGTATGGCTCTGCAGATAAAATAAAGGATGGAATTATATAAGGCAAACTTACCCTAGCAAATTGTCAGCCATCATTATAAGTTTAGTACAGTATTAGTAAAACTTATTATACACCAGGGGCCAGATTCAAGAAGCAGTTACGCAAGCACTTACGAACCTGTACATCTTTTCTCAATCTTTGGCAGTTTTGTTTACAAATATTAAACAGTTATGCAGACGATGAGTCACAATAATGTGGCTAAAGTATGTTCACCAGACCACACACTAGAAGGTGAAGGGACGACGACGTTTCGGTCCATCCTGGACCATTCTCAAGTTGATTCTTGATAATTCTTGAATCAATTAAACAGTTAATGAGCTCCAAAGCACCAGAAGGCTGTTTATAACAATAACAGTTGACTGGGAAGTTTTCATGCTTGTAAACTGTTTAATAAATGTAACCAAAGCCGTCAAAGTTTGAGGAAAAATGTACACATTCATAAGTACTTGCATAACTGCTTCATGAACCTGGCCCCTGGAAGGTGGTTAACATGCTCACTATACACATGCTGCTGGAGCCGGTGTTTTGCTGATCCCAGATTCAGTGTTTCTTGGCATCATAAAAACCATCAAACAGTACCCTTGCTAATTACCCACTTGTCTTGTGTGTTACTATACTACCATGAACAGGTGGCTACATCAACATTAAGACAAAAAGCCCTTGACCCAAGCTTCTCACGTTATTTCCTCGACTGACTGCCTTACTGAAAGATTCTCCCCAATTGTCACTCTCGGGCGTTATATTGACAACAAGACTACTTATGTCTTAACTCTGCCTATCTCTAACTGGTGAAACACTGTGAGGGAGGACGAGGGTAAGGATGACAGGAGCATTTGATGAGTCTATGTGACAAGAGGCCAGTTGTTAGGAGAGACTCTCGTAACAAAGACTATACCTCTCAGGATTACAACCATGTGTTCCATAGTACACACAAGCTACCATAAATTAATATAGTATCTAGCACCAAACTGTATATTTGTTACCCCTTTATAACATTTAACCGTGGAAATATGCATACAGTTATGATGCGAGTAAATAAAGTCAGCTGATATCACTATCTGAAGCAATCATTTAATAGTACTATACAGTACATATTTTGTTTCTTTTATGTATATACAGTACTGTAAAGAAATACTTGTTCTCCTTTAGTTCTCAAGGCATGCAATATATTTATTAAATAAACTATAGATGTACAAACATTTCTAAATTAAGTCTTGAATTTCAATTTGAATTGAATGTCCATCCTCACTGCATCAAGAATAAGAAATATATTTCCAATATGAATGTAACTCAAGTGAGATTCAAGAGGATGGGAGCTGCCCTGAAGAGACAACTTGCCCACACATCACCATAGAAAAATGCGCTCATACATATTTGTAGTTTTTCATCATTATAGCCATTCAAAGAAGTTTATGTGGTCTCAACATTGTATACAGACCACAGTTCACCTCAAGGTGGGTGTGGCAATATCCACACTTTCAATATCCATGAACGTATGGATATATCATATCCATATTTATAGGCAATATCCATGCTGTTGACCAGGCAGTCAACAGCAGCAGAGTACCCAATTTCCAAGACCGGTCTTGGATCTCAACTGGTCATGAATTCTTTAGGCTAATTATCTGACTGACTTGGTTATACAGCAATACCAAAAATAAAACGGGCGAGAGGAAGAGATAAAACACGGGACCTCGTAGCCTGGTGGATAGCGCGCAGGACTCGTAATTCTGTGGCTCGGGTTCGATTCCCGCACGAGGCAGAAACAAATGGGCAAAGTTTCTTTCACCCTGAATGCCCCTGTTACCTAGCAGTAAATAGGTACCTGGGAGTTAGTCAGCTGTCACGGGCTGCTTCCTGGGGGTGGAGGCCTGGTCGAGGACCGGGCCGCGGGGACACTAAAGCCCCGAAATCATCTCAAGATAACCTCAAGATAACGGGTGAGTGAAAAATAGTTCAATCTAATAAACAACCAAATCTGCACTTTAACCCTGCATTTCTTATTAGGGTCAAAAACTACATTTTCCTGAAATCTAAAATATTGTAGTTGTTAATCCCTGACAAATATGTCAAAAGTAAGAAAAACTACTGTTGAATGTAATGAAATGCCATTTAGACTACTCATTTGCCATAGTCTAGTCTTGGGGTTATATATTTTATACTTTTTCTTTGTGCTATTTTAAATCCGTTTTTTCTGGTTCTTTGTTCCAGAGCTTGTGTTTCCCAGGTTGTCCGCATTATCATTAAAGCTAGCCAGCCTGCGGTCTACTCTCATGCTCAAGACAGCACAAATACTGTATGCTGCCTTGTCGGCTCTTTTTGGTAATACTGTATGTCTTGGGCCAATATTCAGGCATGAGGGTTTTGGAGGTCTAAAAGCCATGAGTAAAACAGTTGTTTAGCCATCAGGTATCTTGAGAATGTTCCTGGTCCTCTGCAGCCTTGTGTTGCACTAGGGCATCTGTCTGGGCCTTTGGTCACGACTTCCGAGTTTATACAATTGGCGTTCTCGCCTCCCTGGTAAGTCTCCCAATTTTGTTTTTCTCTGTGGGCAGTTAGCTTCAGGGAACCAATGGGGCTTCCCACAGGACAATAGCATTGAATGTAATGAAACACCAGTTCCTGGGTGAGCCTTAGAGGCTTCCTGACACCCTCCCTCCCCCAGGTTGGCATTGTAATTCTCATTAAAGACCTTAAGCCAGACAGCCTGGCCTTACCGGGCCAGCTCTTTCCCCCAAGTGGAGTGGAGCTAACTAGGAGGGGGCTAGTTTCACTAAGCTTTGGTAATTTTTTTCTTGGGGGGAGCTGTTTTCATTTTGGGGGCTTTGGTCTCATTTTTAAACCAGGCAGTGGCTTATCATCTCAAGATAACCTGAAGAAGATAACATTACTTGCACTTAACAAAACTAAACAAAGTACAGTGGTACCTCGCATAACGAATTTAATCCGTTCCATGTTCGTCATGTGAAACGGACGTCATACAAAACGAGTGTCCCCCCCCCCTCCAAGTAACCTGTGTGATGCACTGTGTTTATTGTGAAATTCCCCCAGTGTGCATGACATTAAATGTTCCCCAAAATATCATTTTTCTTTGCAAAATGATAAATTACTGTCCCTGAACATGTCTATGTAAAAATAATTACCAAATTCCACCTACTTTGGCTGTGAGGGCTTGGACAAGGTGCGCTGTGACGTCATCAGGGCCTGGTCGCCCGTGTGTGAAGCTCCCAGACACGGTCGCGCAGGCCATTCAAGCACCGCGTGTTGCCACAAATATATTTTCAAATATTTTTTCTATGCATTTCCAATGCGGTTTTATTTGTTTCTTTTATCGTATATGATGCATATTTGTGACCTTAACAATATGTATACAGTAGAATGTTCATAATTTTCCATGGAACTGTGATACATGTGTCAGTAATGTGTCCACAATAAATGTTTATTGTCACAATATTACGTGGTAAAAATTCTCTAAAATTACAATATGTACAGTTTCACATACTATTTACACAGTAACACACTGTATTACACACTCAGTACTTTGGAGGTGCGTAAAAGTCAACGAAGTAGTCCATGGTACACAGCGCGACTTTGCTCTCCTTGCACCAGCTACAGATAGATTTTTGATCCTGTTTCATCGTTCTGTGTGCTTGCAAATAATGCACTCGCGTGCACCCTTGGCTTTAGTACTTGTAGGTGGTATGTAGCCAAGCTTGTAAAGCATAAGGTAGTATTGAAACGATTATAGGAAAAACTCAATTTGTAAGGTAGTCTTGAAAAGATCGCTTTGCAAGGTCCCACACAGGAAGAGATTCAGCTAGCCTCAAAGAGTGTCCATCAGTCAGGAAGAGATTCAGGTATTCTTGAAAATATCAATGAACACCACCACCATGGAAGCCGCTAACACTGTTCATCTATGCTACTTGTATCAGATGCATCATCACTGAACGCAGAAAACGATTCATCTATGTATCATCTATATAAATTCGAGACGGCAATGGTGGGGCTCAGAGCTACACCTGGATACGCTCGCTGTATCATCCTCATAGGTGCTGTATCACTGGCATCCGACCGTTGTGTTAAGCCCTTATTGCGCCTAGCTTCACCAATATTATGACCCTTATGTTCTTCAAACAATAGGATCTGAATTGCACCGACTGAGCGCAGTCTTTCAACACCGTGTGGGACAGGTGTTTGAGAGCCAGAGGCACGTGTGCTACAAACGGTTGCTCACGCAGTACTAACCCAGCCAGCAGCCCTTGTCTTTCATATTCGTTATAACAAAAGGTTCGTTCAGTGTTTGTTGGGTAGGCTGCTCCATTATGACAATCTTTCTTTGTTTCAAATGTGTTCCATTTGTTTTGTATTTGTCACTTACGTCTCAATAATGGAGCAGCCTACCCGACAAACACTGAACGAACCTTTATGGAATTTGTCCATTTTTCAAATTGTTTCAACAGTTCTTTTATTTTTCGTTTTTTTTTATTTAAGAAACATGGAGTAGCCGACCTGTAGACCACCGAACAAACCTTTTGCTATAAGACAAATGAAAAATAAATATTGAACACATTTGAAGAAAGGAAAATGTCATAATGGTTTATTCAGTGTATGTAAGGTAGGCTTCTCCATTATTGAGACGTAAAGGACAAATACAAAACAAATGGAACACATTTGAAACAAAGAAAGATTGTTATAATGGAGCAGCCTACCTGCCGAACGAACCTTTTTGACATTTGTTGTATATCAGACATTTCATTTCTTTTTTCCTACAAAAACGTCAATGCTTTGCAACATCTTAGCAGTCACCCTTTTATATCCCAGCATCATTAGCATCTTTAAACAAGAACAACATAATTTATGTGCATCGTCGGAGGCGTCTAAGAATGTGCAAGAAGCAGCGCGACCCCACCATGTGGTGTTGACGTTACTCAAACCAGCGTTCGTCATACGGGACGATTTGACGCCGATTGGGCTGTTCGTTACCCAAAATGTTCGTCTTTTGGGGCGATCGTTATGCGAGGTACCACTGTATACAGTTTATACAAAGTATGCAAGCCAATTAGTATTTATAAATAAGTTAACTTAAAATGATACTTTGTTGACTTGGTTTACAGTAGTTTCAATACATAATTTACCTTTCCTCCAGCTGTGACTTCCAATGCAGTTGCAGTAGTAGGATCTCTTAATTTCACCAACTTGCACACAAGCCCCTTTACCAAAGAATGATCAAAATTCCTCTCTGGTTCTTTGTAGTTGAAGCATAACTGAGGATATCTGTCAAAATAAAAGAGACATGAAATCTTAATAATTGTAAGATATAAGCAGCATGTTGAAAGTGGTATACTTGTCTCTAATGTTACATCAGTCACAACATACACACATAGAAGGCTATAGTAGGCATCCTTCAGTCTCGGGAGACTATGGAGTTGCGCCCTAGTTGTCAATCCTGGTGCAGCGTCTGGTGTGATTGATGAGGCCAATCCGAGAGCGGCAGTCCATCCCACACCGAGCACATATGAAGTCTGATTCTGGTCTGTATTCCTGGCTACCGGCTTTCCTTCTCGGTCTCTTTGCCTCCGATTCCTTGGTAAGTGACTCCTCGACCGACCCCCAAAACCCAAGCGCCCGAAAACTGCCAAAAGACAGCCGTAAGAGCGGCACACTTCCGAACATCACGAGCACGAGGGTAGACCGCAGGCCGGCTAGATTTAAAGACACCGTGGACAACCTGAAGCCTGGAGATGAAAACCAGGGAAACCAGACCAACCCAGAACGAGGCCAACCGACACAGAACCGGTGACCCGCAAGAGGCGACATAAAGCTGCCACCAAATGCAATACGTGATACATCCCTGACCTAACCAACCAAGCATCCACAACCAACAGAACCTTGCTGGTAGCCTGCACAAAAGAAGCTGCTGGAAGAAAACTAACAAAACAACCTACCAAAAATAAGCATGAACTGAAGGGACTGCCACAAACCAAGGTAAAGAAGAAAGGAAAGATTCTGGTCCAAAGATCAAGAAGGCTCAGGCGATGTAAGAGCAGGCCCGAGGTGAAAATGCACGTGAAAGCTAGTGGAAGGGACATCCACCCCGAATGCAAGCTGCAGCTGCTCTGCCAAACACCATATGACACGAAGCGACAGTATTCGGCATGAGATGCAGATAAAAAAACAGCGTTGAATGTAATGAAACGCCATTTTCAGGGCGAGTCCTGGAGGCTCCCCGGAGCTTTCCCAGGCTGATATGCTAATGTCAGACTTTGGCATCTGTCATGTGTATGGAGTTCTTAGGCCTACCGGGGACCACGGCCAGAACCGGGCCCCCTCAGAGAGGCAAGGGGAGCAATGGCCTGTAGAAACCCCCGTGTGGTTGGAAGCGTTTTATGTCTGCCATCGACCGGAACAGGCACCCAGAAAGGTAAGCGCCTCAAAACAAACCCTTATTCTGGTTAAAATTGCTACCAAAAGCCGAACTAGTGGATAGAACTCCCCAACAGAAAACAAGCAAACTAGTATGACGTTACACGTCGCCGCACTGTTGTCTGCGCAGCTTCCCCCATCCCCGGGAGGGGGAAGGGGGAGGCCCAGACCCTCCACGCCGGCTACCCACACCTCGGTTCTTGAGGCTGGATGTCAAAAAAAAAAAAAAACGCCGACCAGAGGACGGGAGGGATGCCGGGGCGCCAAGGGACTCACCCAGAAAATGGCGTTTCATTACATTAAACGCTGGTTTTCTGGGGGGAGCCCCGTCGGCTCCCCGGAGCTAACTACCCATAGACGGAAAAAAGAGGGACTTACCCGGGAGGCAGTCGTCGCTCACTCCTCAACTCGAAGCCGAGAAAACTGGCTGCAATCGCCGACCCAAAGCAACACAGGCCCGACGGGGCCCAGGGACATTCACAAGGTAACGAGCAGCCAGGACCCTGTTCAACCGCCAAAATCCCTGCGCCCGAATATCAGACCAAGACATACAGTGGTACCTCGGAATGCGATTGTCCCTGTATGCGAGGTTTTCGGAAGGCGAGGTGTATTTACTCCAAAAATTTGTCTCGGAAGGCGATGGTTACTTCGGGAGGCGAGTTTGGACGCGAGTTTGTTGATACGCGTACAGCCGACCTAGCGCGCGGTGGTTCGGCGATCATCGCCCCTCGCGCTCAGTGACTACCCCCACATCAATTCTTCTCGCAGATTTTCAGTGTTTTGTTGGATTTTTGGTGATTTGTCTATACAATTTGTTATTATATATCTCACCATGGGTCCCAAGAAAGCCAGTGGTAAGGATAAAGGCCAGAAAGCTCATGTGAGGATGACAATAGAGGAGAAACAAGAGATCATTCGGAAGCATGAGAACGGTACACGTGTTGTTGAACTTTGTAGGCAGTACAACAAAGCCACATCAACAATATGCACTATACTTAAGAAGAAAAATGAGATTATGGGTGCTAAAGTGGCAAAAGGAGTAAGAACATTAACGGCACAAAGACCACAAATACTTGAAGAAGTGGAAAAGTTGTTATTAATTTGGATACACGACAAGGAGTTGAGGGGTGATAGTGTTTCGGAGGCCATTATTTGTGAGAAAGCCAGGGTGTTGCACGAAGACCTTCTAAAGAATACCCCTGCAACGAGTGATGCAGATAAGAAAGAGTTTAAGGCAAGCAGGGGCTGGTTTGAAAAATTTAGAAAGAGAAGTGGTATCCATAGTGTTACAAGGCATGGGGTTATGTGATGTGATTATGGAAGGGGACTCCCCTTCCAAACAGTAACTCCTCTCCTCCTCCCCCCTCCTCACCATCTTCCATACGCCTACAGCACTCGACAGCAAGGTAAGTAATAACTGGAACACAGTTTTGTAGGCTTATTTAGATGAATTAGGTAAATTAGGTATAAAAATTTAGTTTGATGTGGGGTTTTTGGGGTAGTCAGGAACGGATTAATTCATTTCCCTTTATTTCTTATGGGGAAGTTAACTTCAGAATGCGAGTTTTCGGAAGGCGAGGTGTCTCCAGGAACGGATTAAACTCTTATTCTGAGGTATGCCTGTATTCCCAAAGACGGCAGCAAGAGCCGTGAACTTACGGACGTCATGGACACGGGGATAGACCATAGGCTGGCTGGACTTAATAACCCTGCGGATGACCTGGAAGACCCGAACCCGCGAACAGGGAAGAAGGGAAACCGGATCAACCCAAAGCGCGTCCCCGGACACAGAAGCCGTGGCGCGCAAATAACGGCAAAGCGCTGCAACCGGACACAAAACATGATGCACCCCCGGCTTGACAAACCAAGCATCAACGACCCATGGACCCCTCCGGAACGCAGCAGTCTCATTCTTCGCCAGAAAAAAAGGAGACGGCTGCAAGCGAACAAAACAATCTCTGTAATGATCTGGTTCTCAGATCATTGGTTCTCCCTTCTCCCCTCTTTCCTCCTTCCTCCTTCCTTCTCCCTTTCTCCCCTTTTCTCCCCTCCCCTTGCCCGTCATTCGCCTCCTCCTCTTTCCCCCCCCCCCTGTTGCCCATTTGTCAGGGCCAAGAGGTTGACTTGAGGGTGGCCCTGATACCTTTGGCTTCCCCCACTCAACTCCTCCCCACTCAGATTTCCCTCTCCATCTCCCTCTCAATTCCCTCTCACCGGTCCCTTCCCCATACCAGGCGAGTCAAATGTCCCTACTCTTTATTGGAGGAGTCAGGCTTGAACATAATTTATCAGTTTTGTAAACATTGCTCGAAGGTGCACTGGTCTCCATAGAGGCGCCTTGTTCCCTTCTATTAGCTGGAGAGAGCTGACTCAATCTTCAGGAATTCATGTAGCCTTCCACAGCAGATCATGGAAGGTGATTGGCGGTAGATAAGGGCCAAGTCCTTATTGGCCCTAGAGAGCCAGACCTCAGGCCTAAGTATTAAATGGTTAGCCATTGCCAAAATAATGGGTGGAGCCCTGGGGCTGTATTAGATGGTGGGAGGAGTAATCCTTCCCAGCAATAAGCTGGTAAAACAAAATTTCATTAGTGTGTCTAGGGAGTGTGTGGAATAAGGGCCGCAAGCCCGCATCCAAGGGGCTGAGGGCAGCCATCTACATCTTGGCCTCAGTGCGATTTTAAGGTATGGCGCACTTGACTCTCATGTCCTCAGTAGATATCCATTGTGCCTCTAGGGGAATAGAATAGGGCATATGTTCAAATTGACTTAATTTACATGTTTCATAAAATAAATTGTATACTTGTCCAGTGGTATTCACTTAACTCCCCTTTGATATATTTCTCTCCTTTGTCTTTTTTATGTGTTGAATTGGAAACCCCCATGTTTTCCTACAGTTAGTAGATCCTAAAGTTGCCCGTGGATTTAAATAAGTACCGTAAATTAAACAAATTAATTTCCCAAAATTTATTACTGAAGTTCATACTACCCGGGAGTCCCATGATTACTGATTCCTTGCCTTCCTTGGAGATCGGTGATTGACACATTCAGGTATGGTTGGACGGGAAGGTGGTGGCAGTGTTTAATGAGATTTATCATTTTTATAAATTAATAACCCTTGTCCTTGATGTATCTTCCTCATTTAATATTCCTCTTATATTCGTGGCAGTCTAGTGAGGGGTCATACTGGACTGTAACAGTATTAAGCTGGGGTATTGAGTGAAGAGAGAGAGAGAATTACAACAGGGATAGCGTTCAGAACGATTACGAGGTTCAGGGTTATTACATCTCCACGACCAAAAGAGCAGAAACCCCTGCGCCGGAGGAGAGCATGAATCTCCCCTACCCAACCCCCAGACGCCAAAGCCAACAAGAAAAGTGCCTTGGAAAAACAATCCTGGACCAAAGGGGCCACAACGAAACGAGGAGACGAAAGGAAAGCGAGCACTCTGTCCAAAGACCAGGACGGAGGTGAAACAATGCACGAGACAGCTTGCGAAACGCCACAGACGTAACATCGATACCGAAGGCAAACTGAAGCGGCTCCGCCAGCGCCGCACAATACCAGGCGACAGTGTTAGGCATAAGATGACGGTCCAGAAACAACCAGGAGAGGAAGGACAAGACCATCCGAACAGACAAGGAACTAACATGACGAAGACGCAAAAAGAAACAGTAGGACCGCCAGGAAACTTTATACTACCTCCAAGAAGAAGCCCTCAGGTGGGACACCAACAAGGAGGCCACCTGATCACCATAGTGATGATGATAAACTCGAGTCAAAAAACCCATATGCGAAGACTCGAGGAGAAGATCGAACCAGCCACGTGACGTACCGGCCCGATCTGCTGA